CCCCCCCCCCCCCCCCCCCCCCCCCAGATCAAGGTCTCGCTGCCAGCGTCTCGTGCGCGCGGACACGCGGCCGCGCGTGGCGTCTCCTAAATTTGCTCCTCTCGGTCCCCAGGCACGCGTTCTCTGGCCTCCGCGACAACACTTGAGATATACGCCGTTGCTTTTATCGTACGCACGTATCTGTAGATAACGTTTCTTTAATTTAACGACCACTGTGTGATTTCGGACGCGATATCACCAATCTCCGATGTACGTACGATCCGTACGATTCCGTTTGGATATTGGGTTTTGTTTTTCTCGGCTTCTTGTGCATGCTGATGCAATTTATCACTGAACATTGCAGTGTTTGGCAAAGGTCGGCTGTATGTGTGTGTGTGTGTGTGTGTCTGTACATACATATGTATATACTTGACCATCTTGACATCTTGTGTTTCTTTAAATAGATACAAATAGACGTTAAAACGAATTGTTGTAACTAAATAACGTTCTTAGATATATATATATTCTTTTTTGTTCTTTCCTATACATTTTGAAGATATAATGTGAAAGTATACAAGTAAGGTAGATTTAAAGATTACTTTTGTTGTATTATTTAATTTTCTTATATAAATTACAATAGTATTATCGTGTAATGAATTGTAGACCAAATAATTTTTATTATGAGTATAATCACATAAATAAAGTAAAATATTACTTGAATGTATAGCATTATGGCCAGTATTCGTCCATTTATATTTTAAGACCATATAGTAATGTCTTGAGATGCTAATGTGGTTCGTCTCTTTCTAGCTGATAATCGATTCTTATATTTGAAATATCGTAAGCCAACCAGAGCTCTGCATTAACATCTTAGAACATTACTTAAGTCAGTCTTAAAATAATAGAATGGACTATGAATACCATCGTCTGATTAGTTTATATAACATCTTAAGACTATACTTAAGACTATCTTAAATATAAGAACTTTGAATACCAACCTATAAATGTTATTTATAAATAAACCAATGTGTTTTCTATAATTAACAATTACTTATACTGCTGTCACTTGTTACTTTTAGAGTCAAAATGGGAAGGAGACTATACTTGTTATCCTTCACTAAGACCTGCCAGCCTCACTTCAATATATCCGATATATCCACCACCCATGCACGAAAACTAAAGAATTTTTAAACAAGATTATTGAAACTACGAAACATTAAATAATATTTCTGGACAATTGAATAATTTAACGCGAAAAATTTTAAATAAAAAATACGAAAAAACGTTTGATAAATATTGATTAGTTCGGACAACGTAGTGGTGGATTACATAAAATTGAAACACTTAACGACAATAATAAAATACCGTAATACTGTACTGTACATAGGTGAGTTTGACATCTCATAGATTTTAAATGATCTAACATAAGCGCATTTTTCCCTAGTAACAGTAAGATATCATGATTTAATGAAAATTATATTATAATAAACATGTGACTATAATTTTCTAGGAGAGATGATCACCCTGGAGATAGTAAATTTGGTTAGAGTTCCTGGGTCTAGGAAAAAATCTATTAAGAGGGAATGAGGAACCCAGCCTTGCATTCGGTTGGGATAGCGACGTCCCCTGGAGGAGGCGAAGTCTTTGGCTCGAGGGCCGAGGAGGAGTTGCGCCAGTGGCTTGAGACACGCCTGGACGCATTGGGGATTAACCCAGTTGCGCACTCGCGATTTGTACTCAGCCTATTGCGCCGCCCCGACTCGGCCCTAAGTCCTCCAGAAGAGGCAATTGAGTTGGGTAGAGACATAGGACGTCGCATAGGATGTGCCCGACTTAAAGCAAAGCTGCCAACGCATGGTAATGGGGAACAACGACAAGCTGTTGTGCAATGTCTAACGAATGCTGCTGATAACGTAAGTTTTAGATATAATTTTTTACATGGAATATATATATATATATATATAATTTCTAATTTTTTATTTCCTAATTTACATTACATGATAATATAAATTACATAATAAATTAATAATAATGAAATAATATGTATAAAAAATATTTTTGATGCACAATAGAAATGCGGAGTAGATGCTCTAATTGATGAACTGTGCATAAAACTGAAAGAATTAGAAGGGGGCTCATATGATGAAAGAGAAGAATCCGAGAAATTTTGTGATGAGCTCAAAACAAATTTAGAAGCACTCACACTTCGTGACAACTTCGCTCTGCAATACTACGCAGCATTTCATAAAGACTTCTGCACAGAAGTATCTTTCATAAAGACTTCTGCACAGAAAGATATAAACTTTGCCAACAGCAACAACAATAAAAACTACGGAATTAATTTGCACAATATAAATAACATCGCTCGAAATAAGACTAAAATGTCTATCGTATGTATTAAAATATTTTTTTATTCTTTTTAAATTTTGTGTAGTTACACCAATATGATGAATTTTTTTCTTTTTCAGAACATCGAATCACATAGATCAGAAGATAAAGAAAGCTTTGGATTTGTCAAATCAATGGAACGGGAAAGGGAAAAGGAACTCGATCAGTTGAAATTAGCGCAATTAAAAGCAAAGTTTGATAGCTTAGAAACACTTTGGAATTCAGCACCAGGCAATGCACAGGACACATCTTCAATATGGGCAGCTCCATCACTATCTATTCCTTCTAAACCTCTTTGGCCCACAGACCCTACCAGGACAATCTTCACTTTACCCACTTCAGATAATGGCTATGCTACTGACACATCAAACCAAGAATCAATTATTGACGAATCACCGCTTATTCCATGGGATATTGATCTAATCAGCATTGAAGATAATGCAGATGAATGTAGCAATAAAGATAAAGAAGGTATCAAATATCAATTTATAATATAATGTATTAAAATTTAAGATTTATATCAAAATAATACTTATATAAGTGAAAAATCTTAGATTTGAAATTTTCTTATTAGCTTAGATTTTTATGTTAGTAATTTATTGCAGATTACAATATAAGTTGGTTAGATTCGTTTACGGATGGACCCTGGTGCTGTAAAGGAATTAAAACTACCTTTTCTACAAACACCTACTGGTGTTGTCCCAAAGCTCCGCTGTCCATAGATCCCTCTTTCTTTTCAGCATCATTTAAAACTCCGCTTGAAGTTAGCAAGGAATCTCGTTCGAGTCTAAAGGTAAACAGCCTTCCAGAACCAGACGAGGATCTATTGACTTCCGCACGTACTCACTTTCGTCCGATAAAGGACGATGGTCACTGGGCAGATGGCACGACGTTTCCTGTGAACAATACAGTAGAACGCGTCGCTTATCGCAGATCTGAGTCAGGAAATTTACTATATCTTCCTGGCGGAGAAAGCCCTTATATGGAGTACCGGGAGAATGACACGGTAGCATTGCCCGCGTCTACGAATTTAACGCTAAAGTTTCGAGTGCGTCAGTGCGACAAGAGCGTTCAAACTGAGCCCGTACGATCTCCGGTCAAACGCCGCATTCTCTCCGAACAAGATAATTTTCACTATTCTCCAGTCGGAGCTGAAGATGTCATTTTACAAGAACAAGAAGATATCGAAAAAGATTCTTTTGCTTTGGATCAACTTAGCTGGATACAATCGAGTGTACTACCTCTGTATAATGATAGAAAAAGGTAATAAACATCGTTGAAATGCAACATTGCAAGCGCGTCAGTTAACAAAACGTATGATATCGCGTTATAAGAGAATGTAATATTGCGAACCAGTAAGAGAAGAGTGACTTTATATAAACTAAACAATTTTTTTCTTATTATTATAAATAGGTGAGAAATCAGCATTATCGAGTTTAAATACGAAATTTACAATAACATGTGTATGATCTACAATTGTCATATAAGAGAAAAAAGTCAATATTTATTCAAAATTTATATAATACCAAAAATAAGTATTGATATATGTGTAATTTGTTCTAAGTAGAACTTTAATGGAAACACACAACACAATTAAAAAATACAATATCTTATTTTCATATCAAAGTTTCTCCCAAGAAAATATTCAAATGATTCTAACTCTTAAAAAAAATTAGAATTAGTTTCTTTTTAAGAAAAGATATGTAAAAAATATTTAATAATTAAAAAATGCTAAAAGCGAGCGAAATATAACAACGATTTTGCTATAGTAATGTCTTAGTCTTAGGCTTATACTTGAAATTCCAAGATATATTGTTTATATACAAATTTTACGGCACAATTTAATCTTGTCATATTACCGTTGTATCTAATTGTGTACTACATGGTATCTTTTTTCCGATAGAAGACACAGTAGCAGCTTCGGATGCCAGCCACTGAGGAGTTTGCGTCCATTGACCTTGTGAACCGGATAATGTGTAAGAGGGAGCTGCTAAATAATATACTATATGACTGGAGATTTGAGGTTTAGCTATACTTTTTTTTCGCAAGATAAAAAAGCAATTGATAGGATTGTGAATGGGGGTCCTCTTGGCATGTGGAATTTGTTATGCATGTATCCAAGAAGGCATGAGTAAACCCCATCGTCACTCGTAATAAGCAACATGCAATCGAAAACACAAAGCAAAACACGAGAATATTAACTATTCATTTAGGTAATTAATATTAACCCTTTGAGAGAGTAAGAGGAAAGGAACACAAAATAAGAAAAAAAGTGTATATGTTACACACAACGTTTCACGTTGCAAGAACGTTGAAAATGTAGTCCACGCTATTTCAGTTGTAGGTTGATAATTACTTTGTGATTTTTGAAGAGAGAGAGAGCTTAGTACGCTGATTTTGTAGAAAATTATAGCAAGGTTGTTGTATCACCCGACGTGCAGGCTAAGAGTATCTACTTATTCGAATATTGAAAAGAAAAAGAATCAAAAGTTATGAATCAGTGACCAATCAGAGACTAATCAGAAAGGACAGTTGAGTACTTATTTGAACGCCGCACGGTTGCAAATCGGGTATTTAATTAAAGTGCTGTTCTATTTTCTTGTTGTTTTTCGTAATTATTAATGGATTATCTTAATCATATTTCCCTATAATTATGATTTAACTCCCTAGAAGATTAATATAACCCTCTTCCAGAATCCTTTCCTTCTCCCATGTTCCAAATATCCTTGTATCCATTGCTTTCCCTGTGCTCACCCTAAGGAAATCGAATAACCGAGAACGTACGTGTAAAAAAAAAATCGTGTAATTTGAAAACACGCGCTTACCTTTCATAAGGTATGCGAAAAAAAATACAAAAAATGTTACTTTAGTATGCAGATGCCTTTGAAACGAATGTTGAATGATGTTAATGCGTCGAAGGAATGTGTCACTTATAAACAACTCTGTCTTTAGGAAATACGGTATCGTGAAAGGAATGTAAAAAAATGCATTGTAAAAATAAAGAAAAAAGGACGTTCTTCGTCTTTTGGCGAAATAATGTACGGAAAAGGTAAATAAAGGCATTGCAAAAATGAAAATTGTATGAAGTTTTAAAACTTCCATTCCCATGCATTTATTTATTTTTCTCTTTCTTTCTCTTTCTACCCAAGAATTTCACAATTACATTTTTCTTTAAAGTTATCTAGCATCACAAATACTTATCGCAGAATACATATATGCTAAAAACATGCAAATGAATTTTATGAAAATGTTAACTGTATTTTATGATATTGTAATACCTTTACTGTGCGTCACACCGATATGAAAATTCATGAATCTTCATGAATTTTATCTATAATATCTTATTAATATACAAAATTGACATGGGCGTCTAGAATCGCTTTTATTCCTTTGTGCGACAGCTTTATACTTATTCTCTATATTCTACAAACGAATCCTTCCTGACAATTAGAACTTAAAATCTCGATCTAAATTGCGAGATTGTTTGAAACCCATGTGTAGGAGCAGGATGCAAATTAAATCGAATCGGCTTCATTGTCATTTTCGTTTTTGGAGGAGTAGCTTGATGTAACTCGCTAACTTTTGTATGGTGCCGATAATACCAATACTCGAAGGCTAACGTGAGACAAGCGAAGATGATACCCACGAAGATTACGAGAAACACTCCACCAATATTGTGAATACTGATACCGTCGCTTTGATCATTTTTTAGGTCACAATTCTTTTTGACGGGGTTGTACTTCCACCATCTGTCCTTCAACTTCTCCAATCTCCTCTTGTTCAACAGTATGAGAATCCTACAGGAAAAGATTGATTTAAAGGTGTTTGTTTTTTTTTTTACGGAAAAAAAAAAGATAAACGTCCTTTTACGTACGCGTTGTTAAATTGATCCTTTAACGGTGATCCTTGTTGGACAGCGATAGCGTACGGTTTCCTTGAAAATTCCTCTCCGATTTGGGTCAAATCGCAATTTGTCATGACAAGGTACTTGATGGTCGAAGCGTCTTCGATAAAAGCGAATTCGTTATTCTGGTACTGACCCTCCTGTCGAATTCGTCTTAATGCTTCATCGATATCGGCCGGAAAACCAGTCTCTTTCATAGCTTGGAACATTTTTGTATATTTGTCACTAACAGGATAATCCCAGACAGCTAGTTTCGCTCTTTCTACATCTGACAAGCTATCGTTTAGGCTCATATCTTTCCAAATTCTGTGATAATGTAAAATATGTTTTAAAAAATTGCACATATATAAAGATCTGATTTGATAATTAATCACTTACTCGTAAAAACGCAACTCGATGTCCGCCATCCTGTGGAAGTAAGAGTACGCCGGTGAATTTATGATAGGAGCATACTGTATTTTATACTGTTTGCTTAGGTCATCCAAATTCTCGATGGGTATCTCCAACCTGGATACTGTAAGGAAAGCCGCCAAGTTAGCCGTGTAGGATGCGATGATGATGAACCCGAAGAGCCACCATGTAGCCGCCACCAATCTTCCAGATAAATTTTTCGGCGCCTCTCCGCCACCCTGGGGAGTCAAGGAGGTCATACAAAACCAGAAGCACTCCCTGAGATTAAACTCCCTTTTCTCGTCGTCGTCTTTATACTTGTCACGGTTATTTTGATAGCTATACGGCGACCAACGGTCGAACAGCCACATGAGGAAGCTAGTGAAGAAATAAGCCGCCAGTATGCAGAACCAGACATCGTTCTCCAGCACTGTGAGGAACTTGAAGAGCGACGTCGACGTCTTCGTTTTCTGCATCATAATCGTCAGGCCGACCAAATCGTAAAAGGGTACCGTGAAATCCACGACTTTTTCTCGTTCTGCCATGACCCAGAGCGAGCTCAGGGCGATGTCGGCGCGTTTGTCTATCAGTTCCTTCATCATTCCGTTCCAGCTACCATTCTCTTTCAACGAGCCGTACTCGCCGTCCTCTACCTCATGTATCTCGTACTCGAACGGCACGCTCTCACGAATCGCGTCTAGCAGGTCCATGCAGAAGCCGTACCATTTATCGGTTTCATTATTATACATCATGAAGGGTGGATGTTGCACGGCAACAATCCTATAACTCGTCACTGCGGTGTTATTCATGATCTTATCACTGGTGACCTTCGCAGAAAACAAATTCTCTCGATAGGTGAAGAATGACACGGAACGTAAAATCAACACGGAGTAACGTCGAACTACCTCTGAGGTACTCCGAAGAGTGTGAAAGAAGTGGTGCGAAGCACAAAATGAGTGAAACTAAATGCGCAAAAAGGGTACGCTTTCGTGACGCTTACGTGGCGCGATATAATAAAAGAGTAAATAAAAGTATATACGACACTTTTGCCACCTTGAACTTTTCCCAGGACAGATAAGCGAACGTCATTAGGGAACGAACGACAGTATGGCAGATATGGCGGTGAGATATTAATGAAAAAACAGCTTACGTTGGAGGAATTTCTTTTTTCGATAAAATTGCATCCTTTTCAACGAATATTATAATTTTATGATATTTATATATATTTATATTAATATTTATATTAATACTCTTTGCGGGAGGGCAGTTCAATACAAAATCGGCTTAAAAGTAAGCTCGAGTTTCAGCGCTATTTATTTACCAGTTATCATACGAACGCAATCCAGATTAAACGTGACTCGCCAACAAATGAATATCCAAGAAGAGCTCAATAAATTCCGACAATTTGATGCAATCCCAATTCAATATTATAGTCATTTGTTTTTACGAGGTTGCAATTTCCAAATCTACCCAAGTAAGAGGGTAGTATATAATATAAATGAGAAAAGAAATACATGAACCATCGATCGCATAAACGTCGCTCGGTCAGGCACGACGGTCAAGCGTGATCAATAATCCTTGGGTACATGGCCACTCAAGAATTGGAAGAAAAATCGAAGAAGCCACAATCGTTGAAGAAAATTACTTGTGATATACGGAATTCCTTTATTTTTGCAGCAATTGATTTCATCAAATAGATTACGAATAATTAGGAAGTTAATATATATCCATGGACGTAGCCAGGATTTTATTTAGGGGTGGAAGGAAGAGGGTCAAATTAGAGTTGAAACTTTGGAACCCGAAAAAGAGGGAGGATGATCGAGTGATATGAATCAGTGGACTTATTTTGTCATTACGTATTTAACAGTCGATATCACAAATCTGTACTTCTCATTCCAACGTTTATCATCTAATTTGTCAATTTAAGGATTATTGATTTGAATGATATATTTATTACAGCATTGATTTTATCAATTTGGGAATTAGATAAACCATGACGGTGTAAAATTATTGTGATACAACGTTTCACTGAAACTTTTTTTTCGACTAAATATATATTGATGACATAACGAAAGTGCTTTATTTTATATTTTACATTACATGTTAATGTTTGTCAATGATATTGATATAAGAACCCAAAAACCGAATGGTCGAAACGTATATCAAATTTGCTAAGATATTGTAATAAAGGAATTTTACACATTTTAATAACTTGTATCGAGTCCGATAGGTATTATACTTCAATTATTTTTTGTTTTATATTATTATTTTTAATTAATTACTAACAGGTTAAGCGCACATATTAAATGTACTAATTTACTTTATTTTCTCTTAAAACTATAAACTGATTTTTCGAAGTGGAAAAACTTAAATTGATAGCCGTTCTTGTGGATTCTCAAAAAATCTTTCTATAACTTTCTTTTACTACCAATTTTTTCTTCTTTTTCTAAAATTTGTTTCTTGCGTGAATAAGTGGTTTGAATTATTTTTGTTATTTAAAATTTAGAGAGGGGCTCCCCCCCCCTATCCTTACTTGGCTAGATTCTTGTACATATCTCTTAGTATATCGACCTTCAACATTTTCACGTAATATATTTACGTTTTATTTCAAGCACTACAGCTTACCTGCAAGGGCATCTCGATACCCGCCTGCCAATCTCCGCCCTCCTCTTTTAACGTAATCTTTTCTCGTTCAATGTTTATCATATATATAATCATCTTAAAGTCCGCATGATGTTCTCCATTTTTCTTGCCCCAACTAATACCGGCGTATGTCGGCGTCATGTTCTTTGAGACTGCCATCAGTTTAGCTAGGAAATTCAGACCTCTCGTCGGTGTGTTTGTCTCATCGTAGCTATTGCAGTCGATGTGATGAGGTTCCAAGGGCCACTCGCCAGTGTCCAAAGCGGACTTCATCGCGCTGACACCCAACAGAGTTAAATCGTAATAAAAGGCGGATGTGATGAGCGGTTTCGGTAATTTCGCCTTTATAACAGATTCTGCTTGATTTTCATCGCTCACCGTCGGCATTTCCGGTTTTAGCAACAATATGGTGATGTTCTCACACGCGCAGCTCGGCCACATTTCTTCGTCCAGAGTCAAAACGAACCAACCGTACTTTCGTCCGGTGAAGCTCAATGAGTTCCCAGCATTCAATAGCATATTGGTAGAACTTTCGTCGCCGAGTAGGAAATAGTTTACTACGTCCAAGTCTCGTAATTTTGACAATTGCTCCTTTACGTAATCGTTTGCATTCTGCAAACCGTTGATGACGTGTCTGGTCGGCACGTTCAGCAGTAAACTTTTATACTTGTGGATCATAATGAAATCCTTTTTGTCGTAGAGGATGCCGGCATTGGTGATGTTCATCTGAATCGCCAATTGACGGATTGCTTCAGGCACAAGATCATTCGGTGACATTACCTAAAATAAAATATCGAGCCACGAGAAACAACAAAAATATCTGAAGAATTTTGTAAACCTAGAAGAGACTATAGATTACTTTTTTATAGAATAAAATTCTGACTTGAAATTTATTATGTTATACCTTGCTTGTATTTCTGACTGAGCTATACAAAACAAGATATATAAACAATATTAAAATATCGTATAGACGTGATGTGAACATACAACAGTCAAAAAATAAAAGCTAAGCGGTCAAGTTTGTGTCATCTTTAGTGTTGAAACAATTCCATACGAATTCAATAAATTTTATACACCACAAAAATCAAATATCAAAAATGTGTATATAAAAATTATAATATACTACTCGAAACAGGTCGAATATATTTTACGTTACAATATCATATATATCAGTGAATATATTTATAAAAAAATACACCCAACTTAGGCGTTGGTGGTCCGAAATGATCGACATTCAAATTATCCAACACCTAAATAAACCTTCATCTTGAGAATTAATAATGCTCTACTTGAGTGTTATTTTGGACCTTTATTGTTTAATTGAGTATATATTTTTGTAAAAAATCCTGTCCTTCGCTGCCAGAACTTTTACCAGGACAGCCATAATTGCATAATTGTTACCTGGATCAAATAGTTTTTTTGATCAAGGTCCAGCTCTCTCCAGTAGCGAATATCGCCTTCCTGGCCAAATTGGGCGGATAAAGTCGGAACCCCCATGGCCGCGGTGAACGAACTCGAAGCTTCGGCACCCAGGTCGGCCATCGTCATATCTAGAATCAGATCCGGGACAGTCGCGCCGCCTTTACTGATAGCTGAGCTCCATACGTTGCATATAGTCTCGAGACTGTCAGCGGAATCGCTCTCGTTGATTTGTACGGACCACACATTGCCCAGGTGACCCGGATACTTTTCTCCCAGAGTCTTCAAAGCGCTGGTCACGCTTACATTCGCCGCTTCATTCTTCCAACCATTAATTATAACTAATTGGGGAAAAAGCATTGCGCCGACGCGACGTGCGGCATGCAAGAAAAAAGAGAAAGCAAAACCAAGTCAGACGATTAATCTTAAGACGTAACACCTTAGGGTGTTCTACTGCCTTAAATAACTCGAATCGTTAATGAGAAACTACAACCACGCGCTGCGAGACAAAAGCAGTTATCGCGCATCGGATCGCTTGAAAAGCGTAATGGACTGGCCTAAAAAGCTGCTTCTCGCCTTCGCAAATGGAATCTTTTCTTTCGTATATGTATATGGAGAGTGTAGATTTGTGTCTTCTTTCAACGACACAGAGATGCTGTCCAGTAACAATACGTCATTATATATATATCGATCGATATTGTATCGTTATCGCGCTCTAAGCAAGATTTTCCGCAATTAAAACTTTTCCACACAAAACGAAACTTACAAACATTCACCGGTCTCGATTGAATCGGTTTCTGTGTAGGACCATCTGACGTTTCTTCTACCCCGTAAACCGTAAAAGTTGTCGATAGAACGTATAGCATACAAATCTTCACGATACAACAGTCGGATATCATGATCGCGATCGAGCGAGGGTCTTTCGAATAACTGAAACTCGCGCTTCGAGTGAGCAAGATTCGAGGGAAATGGCAAAGATAATCGCAGCTCGGTCTGAGCGCGGAAGATATTTTCGATACAAATCGAAGCTTCGAGTGTTACGCAATATCACTTATGGGCTGTCTTTTCGCTTATCCTCCCGAGGGACATTGGAAGTGCAGTTCAGTTTCAGTTCGTTGATGGCGCAAAAGTTCGTCGCTAAGGAAACTCGGCAATAGTCCTTTTGTGAGATTAACTGCAACTGCGTCTATATTGAGCTTAATATCGTTAATACGGTCTCGAAGCGAGCGTGTGTGGAGAACTGGGACGCCGGACTGGAGGCACGGCCTTCGCGGTCCAGTTACGCGCGACTCGAGGGTGGAAACCTCGACGGTAGCCGCGCCGCCGTTATGGCATCGCCGGGAAACTTCCTCCCAGGGGAATTCTTTTCGGATCCGCCATACACGACTGGAAATTCAAAGCGGATATTGCGCGTAGAAAGCGGTCAGCTGTCTACTGACAGGTTCGCTCGCAGTCGGCTTCGCTCCAGGGTGTCCTACGGTTTATTTGTGTTTGCCCATCGGTTGCCGCGGGGATGACCCTAATCAATCGTAGTCAGCACATGTGTGACCAGCGCGTGTCTGTCATCTCCTCCTTTTAACGAAAATTTGACGAACATTCGCATTTATTATCGTGTGCACCACGATACTCTGGACTATGCGAACGACGTAGCTCTTTGTCAGGGCAATTCCATGCAAATCGTCAATATGTGACCTTATCCCTTATGACTGGTCTCATCGTCGCTGATGAAACGAATTGCATTAATTATTTCGATTGGGAATGCTCATTTACGTGATAACGTGATACAAGGGCAATGACACAGGATTGACACGTGAAACCAGGCCGGAAAATTGAATTCGTTCGAGTCAAAGCGATCGAGGACGATTTGCACACGTCGAAAGAGTGCCTGTATACGGAAGAAGAGAACGATCGAGGATTTGCATTTACGCAGTGGTTTGATGCAATCGATCACTTCCATTTCATTTATTTCGTGTTTTTTTCTGAAATCGATTTAACCTGTTCGAAGGACTCCATTCAGCTAAGTAACTACTTGTTAAAAATAGAGAAACGTTTACGCACCTTACGTGTTATATGTTTCTTTGTACACATTTCGCTTTATCGCAAGGATATCAGAGATTATAGAAAATAATACTTGAGGCGATTTTTATAAGCCTCGCAAAAATTATATACTAATATATAACGATAGAAATAAAAGCACAAAAGGACTCAGTTATATCATACATATATAATGCAGATTCGACAAAGCATTTAATTAACGTATTTATATGTATTATATGTATTTCATATATATCATATACATACAGCTTCTTAGAGATTCCGAAATGAAAGAAACAGATCGCTAGGAAGGCACGGGATAACTTTTTTATTTATTCAGGACAGAGTCGAGACAGGAATCGAATGTTACGCGACATCTCGTATGACATTTCTGTTAATATGTATAACTGCCATCGGGATGAATTTCACTTGTGACGGTGATTTATAATCCGTTAGAGTGCATTCCGCTCAAGTATTCAGTTTATGTATACTACAAAGCGAGATTACTTTGTCAAGGTGCGTGACTTCCCGGCACTCTTGATATCTTTTTTCCGACGTGTTTGGTTTCTCATTTCAACGAGATTTATTTTACGTATATTATCACGTGGAGTTGTATTATATTTACGACCCTTCCCTCCAAAATGATAAAAAATTTATTGAAATATTATAAGATATAATATTTTTTCTAAGTAAACGCATTAATTTTTTTTCCATTATATTGTGTACGCGTTTCAATAATTTTAAAATCAGATGACATAATCAAAAGTTACTCTCTCTCTCTCTCTTTTACATGACATCACAAACTTACTCAATCGGAGTTTACACTTCTTACATGCAAATCGACCAGCTGCAAAATAGTCAAAAACCACATTCTGTGGTCCACTAGTATATAATATTGCTCGATACGAAGTAAACTCTGTCCTTGACACACATGCAAACTACCGTGGTTAACGAGCAAACGGGATTACGAATCTCGAAATGTATAATTTAAGCACAATCAACTCGAAACCTTGTAATAATATCTAACTCCATCTGTGCCACGTTCAAGGCGTGAGATACGCGCAGATATCGTGTGCGACGGTACCGAATGCTATGCTATTACATCTCAATTATTATTATTACTATTATTATTACTCTAATTATTATAAAATCTGAGATTTTTATGTTAGATAAGAAGCTAAGAGTAATATGGACTTTACATATATTTTACGTATCTGAGGATTTCAGGTTGAATTAATTTTTACCTCAACTTTTTGACATTTAAATTTTTGACGGCGCGATGAAAATATCTCACAAAATTAAATAAAATTATATTATTCTTCAGTATACCCTTCCACGTGCGAAATTTACTTTGATGTCTACTTTTTAATTTAAGTATTCAGTTTTTTCAGCAACATTTTCGCCGTTTTTATTTTTATGAGCAGTTGTTACCTTTTTTATGTTTCTTGTGACCACGATAGTAATGTATGAATAATATAACACAAGGAACGTACGTTCTAATGTAAGTGCGAGTAAAAATGTTGCCGTCGTATCATGAAGCATAAATCTTCAATCAATGTCGTTTCTATTTGAATATTACGTTCTCATTTGATTTTCATATCTTCCCCCCTTTTGTATTTTTTTCATTACATTTCTCGAAGGTTATTGTTTATGTTGGAGATTAAGAGGTGGATGAAAGTCATATTGATGATATTCAAATGACGATACTTTATTATTAACTATATTGAGACAAATATGACTGTACTGGACGAGCTCACACAGTGTTCTGATTAAACTTAAATCTATATAATCGGTGATTACTCTCTAATGAGTCGACATCTGGCGAGAGTGCGCTAGTAAAAACGGATGATCTGTGATCGATTAATGTTCGATCGGTTTGTTTGCTATAGCTAATACATAGCTGTCCTTACAGTTTATAAAATTTTGTAGGCGTGAATGCAATAATAAAAAACAATATTATGAAATTGTTTTGCTATTCATTCTTTATATAACATGATATTTGAACGTTTTCTTTCAGTAAAGTAAATATTATTATCAAAAGGTATATTTTTATAAATCATTTTGTATCTTGTTATTAAAGATACATGAGCTTGCTTGTTAAACCTGCTTGATACTTTAACGTAATTATACGTGAGTTATATTTCTGACATCTTATTATACTTCAACTTTCATTGTTGCCTCTTCGATGATTTACTGTTAAATAAAGATGAATGATATTCTATATTTACATTTTTTAAATAAAGATAAATGCAAAACATTTTTCAATTATAAAACAATTTGCGTTAATATAATAATGTGTACAGCATTTATACACATTTTACGAAATTATAAATCCAGAGTGACTTGGATATTCTATATAAGTAAAGAGGGGTTAATGAGGATTCATTTTTAACTCCAAAGGTGACGTGGCCGACGTGGATCTATTTCACTTCTTATATATATGTATATGTATAGCGTTGCATAACGAAAATTCTGATAAATAAAAATAATTCAACTTTTTCTGTAAAGTAATGGATTCTTGTATCTATTATTGTATAATAATAATTTTTTATAAAAATGTAAAAATTCAATCTTTTTACATTACATCTGCAAAAATTTTAATTATTTCTTAAAATAAATTTAGTGAATATTTATTCTTTTTTTATATAAATTTTTATGTCAATTTGGTTTCTTAAAATTGATATTAATACCTTTTAATCAATATATAAATGAGTTTCACAGTGACAGGTCCAGGTATCAAAAATCTGTGTTACAGATTTTGACATTAGCTCGAGAATTAATAACAAACTTGCTAAATTCCTGATTCAATCATAATTTGTTAGTACAAAAGTATGTAATCTGCTTCGCAATTCTTCGCACATTGTTCGCAGCTTTCATATTGGAGTGGAAGCCTACTTTCTTCATCACGTTATAAATCTTCGTATACGTCTTCTCGACCGAGTATTCCCAGTTAGCTTGCCCTTTTCATAATCTGACGTACTTCCGTTCAAACTCATCTGTCTCCACAGACATTCTCGCGATTACTAAGGGTGTCCAACTAAAAGCAGCTCCACTATGATTGATTTACTCTTTTTACTTGGGTGAGATGAGCAAACTTATCCCTCGTTGTTCAAACGAGAGATAAAGAGGTCATTTGTGATGAGTATTAATTAAACGTTGAACATGCCTTTCTTCCTTCCTTTGATTCTGTCGTAGTATTTATAAACCACACCAAGTTTTAATCATTTTCACGCGTGAAAGTTGCAAATGCGTTGGCTAACTATAATCACCTTAACGACAAAAAAGATAACACGGATTAATATCAAGCGAATAAGCTAGCTTATGTTGAATTTCAAATATTTATAGTACGTTGCTGCGAGATACGTTGTTATGTGTAATTAGAATAATCTCGGTTACGAGATTATTAATTAAATTTGCCAATATCGACAAATTTAATGCTTTTAAACAATTCATCTGTATTATATCAGATTCAAAATACGATATATAGCTTTATATATTGAATTATAATTTATTAAAACGAAACTGGTTATATATCGTATTTCAAGGCAATTTAATTCGCAGGTAACTTGATCGACCATGTACAAATTTCGTATTATTTCAATTATTATCTTTTGATTTTAATGAATAATAATATTAATTATTGAAACATGGTATATATAGAGAAAATACGAAAATCTTTAATTAATTTTTTCTTATACACATATAAATAAAAACTCTTCTAAATTTTTGTAACACATGCATTGTAACATATTTGCGGTATTTTTCTCTGACGTAAACATAAATAAATAAAGAAAAAGAGAGAAGAGACCGTAATGTAATATACATAAACTAGGCATATTTTTACCTTTTAATATTTATGTTCCGT